GGGCGGACCAATCGCATGGGTCCTGCCTCCCTGCGGAGGGGGGTGGCCTAGGAGAAACTCAGGGACACCAGGTTATACAGGAACTCTGAGAGGAAACACACAACAGGATTGTCACAAAGGAGCAGACCCAGATCCTCTGCTTCACCAACAAGGATGCAATGTAGTTGATGCAGGACTTACTGCAATGTACCAGCCCCAGTGCTCCAGGGACACTAGGTACTTGTCACATCTGTGTGATCCAATGTGAAGGGATGCAAAGCAAGACCAGCAAATAACTGATGTACCTGAGTGTGCTTTGCAGGTGTTTGCTACCTTGGGGACCTAGGAAGCCTCACCAGTGAGTGTTCCACAGCCAAGAACCACAAGCACACTGAGGATGGAAAGGGGCACCCATGGTGCACTTACACTGCCTGAAGCTGAAAAAGCCATGAACGGTCAAGTGTTCCTTGCTAAAGAAAATGCAAATGGGAGTTCTTTGGTCTGGTGGTTCTCTCCATGATGAGATGCTCGTTCATCACCATTGGTAGGGTAATGCATAGCCAACCCTGGTCATTAAAGCTCAGACAAGGATCAGAGCTCCATGCATCCATCATGCCACATGCCTGTATGTATGCCATCCACTAATCTCAGGCAACCTGCATCCTCCTGGCACTGTCCTTGTCATGGATAATCTCTCTTGCCTCCTTTTGGTTTATCTTTTGTATTTGTGTGGTTAATGCACATACAAAATGGAGAAGGCTAGCATTGCAATGCTGCTTCCGCCACCTTGCTTTTTTTAAATTCTCCCTTGCAGATGCTGCTTTGCTAAATAGTTATGAGTATATGTGTGTAGGCAGATTAGCTCCTCCCTCTGTTCTACTCTCCTGAAAAACATTTCATGTTTATTTGGGTACACTGTGCTAGCAAGCAAAGGAACAAAACCCATTGATGTGCAGCCAAATCAGGCACATGGTTGCCAATCTCATCTACAGGATGTGCAAAAATATGCATAAGATAAAAAGCGGAATGCAGTGATTTCACCTATGGATTCTCTAATAGGACCATGAATGCACACAACATCCACCAAATGAGAACTCACTCTACCAGTTGCATGAACATCATGTCAATGCAATGACGACTCTCATCAAAAGCAATTTTGTGAGTGCTGCTTCTGCAAAATTCAAGGAGTCACACTGTGCCATATCCAACTCCTCCCTCATACTGTGAGTGCTGACAATGGTCTTATTGGACCCTGACCCACACACAATGGACAGTCCCTGGTGTGCTTACCATTGCCATCACAGTGTGTGGTAGAATGCCACCATTCATGTGATGGGAGTGATTGCAGTAGAGCTGGAGGAGAAGTCAGACTAGAAAGCTGCCGTTGCTGTGATCACTGCATAGTGCCAGGAGTGAAGAACCAGGAACTCCAAGAACTTAGAGGTTACAGTTTACCAGGTGAAGTACTGTGGCTTGCCTACCTGCATAGAAGTTGGGGGGGGGGAATCCCTTCATGGATTATGTGGATTAGGTGGATTAGGTGGATATATTCTGCATCAGCCAAATGATGGAACAAAGCAGTGATGACTGTCTGGGATGACAAACACTGGTTAGCCCATTTCCATATGAGTTGTGCATGTGGGACATCTCAATCTGGGAATGGCCATAACAGTGTAGTGGCCCTCAACCCATATCTCCTACTGTGTGGTGGCACATCAATTCAGCCCAGAGAGACCTACAGTGGGAACCATTGTCACTGAGGTGTGCCTGGCAATAGGGAATGTGTTATTCAATGCCTGGGTAATCATCACAAGATAAGTTCTCATCATCTACCACCATATTGTAGAAGTGAGTTCCCGTAGCTTGAAAGGAATTTATTCTGTGCCTTCCTTTCCCATAGATCTTGGGTAGCTTTGGCAGAATGGGACAGCACATACCTATCTATGCACCTTAAAGTAAAGAGAGAAGTATGTAACCAGGAGAGTACATATTTCATACTCCTGCAAAACTGATCACACTGGCTGCTTCATTAACATTAAGGTGGTGTAATGCCATGGAAGTGAGATGCTTGCCCATGGTGACATCCCATGGTGACAAATGGAGGTGTCTCCATACCACCAATTATTCCTAGGGACAGTGCACATCCATTATGTCAATGATTTATGAAGTCATTCTCTGGGTGCTGGACCTACGTGAGGCAGCATACAACCATGTGCAGGAATGTGGTAGAGAAAGCCTTCAGGAAACTGAAGGTAAGGTGATGAAAAATATGTGTGTCATCATCATCATCATCATCACAATCTTCATCATGATAGCATAGGGCCTGGTTACTTGAGGAATCATCTGTCTCCCATAACATCTGCCCAGCTGATTCAATCTGGCAAGGTTGGTGTTCTTTCAATTAAGCAATGCCATCTGTCTGGACTGTGGAAACGTGCCTTCTCTGTAGCAGTGCCCCCCTCTGGAATGAGGTTCCCCCCAAAATTCGAATGGCTCTCACTCTACTGGTATTTTGAAGGGCCTCAAAGACCTAGCTCTTCACCCAGGCCTTTGGCAAGGATGATTGACATCCCTTTCTTCCTTTTTGTTCCCTCTGGGTTTGTCTTCTTTGCCATTGTTGTTCTTTTGTCTTGTGCTGTTTCTGTTTTTTGAATTGTTGTTTTTAAATGATTTTAACAATTGTAAATTGCCCAGAGTTGTTGGGAGTTAGGTGGCATATAAATCTAATAAATTATTACTATGATTGGTTGCATAGTCAGCCAGATTTTTATCCACCTATTATTATTATTTTTATTATTATTTGTATGATACTGCACAACATCTGCAAAAGCAAGGACATGTCATGCTGCTTGTTGATGCAGTACACAGGGCTATGGTTGGTCATCCAAAAGGAGAAGCATTGACCCCACAGTTAGCACTAAGTAGCTGAGGGCTGAGCTGTGTCGGGTACTTTAGCAGACCTAACATGGTCATGCATGCATGGTGACTGACAGCTGTTTCCTTCTTCAGATGCAGTCATCATATTATGGAGAAATCTGCAGAGAGTAGTTCAGAAATATTGTAAATTATATGAAATAAAAATAAAAAATAGCTGATTAATCTATATTGTTATAGACTAATTGTTATATAGGACAGCACAAATGAAGTTTGATTACTAAGGAGATAATTACGCAGTTACAGTATATTGTGTTCATCTCTGCTTGGTTTAGAGCCGGGAAGCATTTTCACATATGTCCTGTAGGGAATAGTGGGAACACGCAGAGTCAGAGTACAGAGAGAAGAGGCTGCTCATAAAATGTCAGATATGACAAGCACGGTCCCACAACAGGTATACATTTGCCAATAGGCAACATAGTGAACTCACTGCCCAATCACCCTCTCTTGCCTACTTATACCTACTGCCAACCCAAACATATTGAGATGAGCAGTTATATAATTGTGATTAACAAACAAAGAAGCAAACAAACAAATAAAGTGTATGACTTTTTTCTTGTCAGCAAAAAGCAACTTAGCTAGCAGTACTGAATCTGTGCAGCTTCTACAATTATCTAGTTCCTGAATGCAGGATTGTCTCTGGAAGAGTAGAGTTGTATAACTGTGTTCAGCAGGAAGTATGATGGCTTTGTTTTGTGTCTACATTTTATTTTTCCTAAGGTGCCATAAAGGATTAAATAAATTCCATTTTTTAAAAAATAGCACTTCTGCTTCAGTACTTCTGTTTAATATCCAATTCATAATCACTATCATGTTAATAAATTTGGGAGTTCGAGAGGATAGAATACTATTTTTGGTCAGATAAATCCTCTACATCATTTTATAATATTTTTAAGCATAGTTAAAACATAAGAAATTGAGAGCCATGCTAAGCTCCTTTCCTCTCTGATGCAGTGTTTCTTTCAGCTACTAAAATAAACATGAACATATAAAAGTTCAAATATATTTAGTGAGGAGAGAAACAGAATATAATACAGTAACAGCCTGATTTTGAAAAGTGGAGAAATGTTGGAGAACAGATCTTTAAAAAGTATACTATGATGCCACCACCAGCTATCCCAGGATTAATAGCAGAATCCCAGAGAAGTACAATACAAGTAAAAGTGAATCAGAAAGGAACTCCTGATTTACAGAATGTTATTTAGCTGGGCATGGGTAAAGGTCTGGCTAGCACTGGACTCAGGTTATTGGCTTGTTCCTTGTGCCTCTGTTAATTTCTTGACTCTTGACAATCCATGTCCTCTGTACACGCTCATCTTTATGCATACTGGCATCTCTTCACAACAGAATGCTTTCTAACAAGAGCAAATCAGTATCATCTTAGGATCTGCCCAAGTGGTAAGTTGTATATTGTTTTATATATTTTTAATATATTTTTCTATGGGAGATCCTTTTATTAAATCACTATAATTTGGAACAACTCTGTATTTTGCCTTCTCTGTTAATTTTTTTCTGCATGGGACTACCTAAAGTAAAAAAAAAAGAAGTTTACACTTTCTTTTTTCTTATGTTTAATGATTTGATTTTAAATTATAACTTAAATTAAATTGGAAACTACTAAATAAGTTTCCAAAGTAATGTCGGGGGGGGGGGACCACATTACCTAGCCACATACCACAAACCAGCCAGGGTGTAAGAGAGCTACAAAGATGCAGCATTTGTGTGCAAAAGCATAGAAATCTACCAGAAAAACTGTGGGGCAGGGTGGGGAAGGGAAGGAGACATATGGAGTTCTGCTGTGAATAGAAGTCAGTCCCACTGAAATCCTTATCTATACTGAACATTACATGATAATATATGTTAGTTACCATATTTATATGCCAATTTTATGGTGAAGTGCTTCCAAAATAATTTAAAATATTAATTTAATATTATGGCCATGAAAGACTATTATTATGCATTTTAAACATTAATGTCATATATATTTAATAGAAGCATTATTCTTTCAGATAATTTACAGTATAGTTCTACTTGCACTGATCCCAATCCAGAAGCAAATACAGTGGTACCTCGAGTTACAAACGCCCCTCCTTACGAATTTTTCGAGATACGACCAGCTCCGGCCCCAAAAATTTACCTCGCGTTGCGAACCACCTCGAGTTACGAACCGGATTCGTGGCCATTTTCCCTCCCGTGACACGTGGTCCATGGCCATTTTCTGCCCGTTCCACGTGGTCCGCGGCCATTTTTCTGCCCGTGCCATGTGGTCCGCGGCCATTTCCCACCCGTTCCACGTGGTCCATGGCCATTTTCTGCCCGTTCCACGTGGTCCGCGGCCATTTTTCTGCCCGTGCCATGTGGTCCGCGGCCATTTCCCACCCGTTCCACGTGGTCCATGGCCATTTTCCCGCCCGTTCCACGTGGTCCGTGGCCATTTCCTGCCCCTGACACGTGGTCCGTGGCCATTTTTCTGCCCCTGACACGTGGTCTGCGGCCATT